GCTCAGTACCGAGCATATACTGCTCGGTACCGAGCGTGTACCTAGTGGTACCGAGCATGTACAGCTCAGTACCGAGCATATACTGCTTGGTACCGAGCATGTACCACTCAGTACCGAGCATATACTGCTCGGTACCGAGCGTGTACCTAGTGGTACCGAGCATGTACCGCTCAATACCGAGCATATACTTGCTCGGTACCGAGCGGTGCTGACTCGGTATCGAGTATGTACCTAGCAGTACCGAGCATGTACTGAGCGGAACCGAGCATGTACTGAGCGGACGAATGAAAGAAAGCCGAATCAGGAGTTATTCAAGCTTTCTTTACTACACCTCAAAGTTAAGGCCAAAACACTGCTCACCTGCTCTTCCGACCTAACCGAGGCCTGAACGTTTCCTGCACTCACAACTTCGGCTTCGTTTCCTGCTTTCGAAACCGTTATTGCTTTTGGATTCGTTTCCTGCGTCGTCTCCTTCTGACTTCGTCTCCTGCACTCACGGCTTCGTCTCTTTCCCTCACGGCTTCGCCTCTAGTTCTCCTTTCAATTCTCACAGGAAGCCCTAATCCTATACGCGAATACACAAACACGAATCGGCTGCGTCGTATTTATATATATACCGAAGAAAAAATTTTGAGGCGGTGCCTCATACTGCCTCGAGGCGTTACGCTCTAATGCGTACGCCTTGTACGAAAAAATCATAGGCTTCGCTGGATGGTTCGAGGCGTAAGCCCAGATACGCATGACTTCCGCCTCGACTTGAGGTGCGACTCAATGCGGACGCCTCGTCCGCTTTTTTAATGGTTGATCTATCTCCAACTTGAGGATGAATACGAGAAAAATATGGCAATCAATTCCCTCGTGAAAAACATGAGATTTAAAATATTTATTTTGTTGGAATTAAATTAGGACCTCTATTTGCACTTATCATGTTTTGTCTTTTCCATCATTAGCTAATTTAAATTATGATTTTCTTAGGTTTATGATTGTTGCAATATAAAACCAACCCTAGTCCTTAATAAAAACCACGACAAGAAGTTGTTTCTTTACAGAGTGGGCATAAATGTTAGTAAAGTCCGGCAAGCTTTCTCAAAGCCCATCAATTTTGAACTAGTATTCGCAAGGAACCAAAACAAAAAGGAAAAAATTTTATTATAAAATTCTCTTGAAATAAATTTTCAGAACTGCGTAGCTTTTAAAAAATGTTCTTGGGTTGTACAACAATACAACAACAACAATACTAGCTTAAAGCAATATGGCCTTTTTTTTTGGTTTATGGAAAAATATCACTTTCCATAAACCAAAAAAAAAGGCCATCTACAACAATAATATAGAAAAGACAGATCATTGTAAAAGATGAAAAAAAAAAAGTGTTATTTTTCATATGGAAGAAACAATTAAATCTAACATCCAAAATTTATCAAAATAAACAACTATAGTTGAGCCATAGGAAACAAAATATAAGCTCAAAAATGACATCCAAGAGTGTAAGAGAATGCGGTTATAATCCTCTTGAAAAAAGACAATAGAACCCAAAGAAAAACTAATAGGTGTAAACATAAGAGGTCCAGTGTTTGGGATATGTTAAGCAATGGGAGCATAGTGAAACTGTTTCCTTGCAGTGATCAGACTAGGGATATGTTAAGCAATGGGAGCATAGTGAAACTGTTTCCTTGCAGTGATCAGACTAGTGAACAAAGTGGATAAGAGTAGTGGCTAGGATCATGCCCACCACGTCTATGAGAACTATAAAAAACTCTTGCTTCAATAGCAATAGTATAATCAGTAGCACAACAACGTGTAGCAGGTAACTCAATGGACTGGAGAAACACAGATGAGAGCAATGGTGATGGTTGATACAGTAGAGTCTGTCATCAACTGAGTTTGAATATGTTGCAAGGATGATGAAGGTATGGTTGATACAGTAGAGTCGGTCATCAACTGAGTTTGAAAATGTTGCAAGAATGATGAAGGTCAAATAGGTACTTGGAAACAAGGAATTTTCTTATCATTTCTTGCTATGCAATTTGATTAGTGAGAGTGGCCTTAGATGGTTTGGTCACATAAAATGGCGGCCGCTGATGACCCAGTTAGAAAAGTAAATATTTTAAATTTGACTTATGTTAAGAAAGGTAGAGGTAGACCTAAAAAGACTTAGAAAATATTAGAAATGAACTTTCTTTATTAGATTTAGATGAGAATTTGAATCTTAATAAGATGAAATGGAGAAAAAGGATTCATGTAGCCGCCCCCACTTAGTGGAACAAATGCTTGTTGTTATTGTTGTTATTGTTGCTGAAGGTGACATTGATGAATATATCCCATTTTTTCTTTTAGAATGTTCTATACTCAGTAAATTTAAAACCATGTTGCAAGGATAATTATTCAAAATGAAGCAAGTATCTCAGAGATGTTAGTTGTTTGAAAGTAGGTGGAGCGGAGAAAATCCCATCCCTTTGGCAGTATCTTAAAGAATGATGTAGATGCAACAATATATTCAAGGAAGTTATAAGTATCTAAAAAAAACATTCCAATCATTTGATGTATTTGATGGTGTTTGCTAATTCAAAGATGGAGCATCAAGATCATAGAGTTTTTCACGAGAACCAACAAAAAGAAATACAAGCTCAATATCACAAAACATAGTTGATACTATTGAGTTTAATAAATATGCATGCTGTGTAACAACCCAAAATTTCTGATAATTAAATAAGTTTAATTAAAGTAACTTAGCCTTCATTAATAATTATATATCCTGTTAAACTACATATTAAATAAAAATTTTGTTTTGAATAGATGCTTCCCTTGGGCTATTATGAGAGCAGTTAGAGTAGTGGGGTCCACTCTTTGGATCCTTATCAGTATTCAGAATGCATCCAAAACGCCTCTTGTAGAAGCATACGGTGCAGAAATTCTTCACAGGGAGAGTTCGGAACATCACTCTCCCGGGACTGTAGCAATTACCGCTGATTTGTGAAGGAAAATCGCAGAATCCACTGTAGCAGGCGTCGGCACAGTGGTATTTGGCATAGAGCTTTTGCAATTGGTCACAGTAAGTATTTTCATGAAATATTAGGTTGGTTTCCTGAAGTAAAATGCAATGAAATGGCTATAGAAGTTTCGGTTTAGTGTAGAATTTTTATTCCTTTGTTTGGCACAGTGAAGGAGAGCACTTTAGCAGTTTGGAAATCAGTAGAAAATAGACCATATTATTGAGGAAATTTTGTGAGAAGGATTTGCTTCCATGGCAATAGAGAGTGTGCAATACAGGTATTATTTTATTAACGAAATAGATTATTAGTGAAAAATAGAAATCAAGATTTAGAAGTTGTGATCTATTTTGTAATAAATTGTAGTTAAATTCTAAGTGAGAGGGAAGTGAGAACACTGAAGGAAGAATAAAGCTTAAAGAAAAGGAAATCAAGATAAATTTGATCATATGCAAAGAGAGAGTTTCGAGGTGACTTACAATCGTAGAAGAGTTCGTAGTAAGGAATTGGAGGAAATAATTCATCAAGGAGGTAAGTTATCTAAAGTTAATTACTGATTTTTATATTTATTATCTCTTTTCAATGGTTTGAGTAATTCAATGCATTATGAATACTTGCATAGCAACCATAATAGATTTCATTGAAGTGTTCATTTATAAACAAATGTACTTTATGTGGAAAGTGAAATGATATTTGATCAAATATGTTATTTCAATCACTTTGATGATATATGTTAAAGAAAGTTTGCATTTGCTAGATAATGCATGTCAAACTTTTCTTACAACACTTGTACAGCTATATAAGTGATAAAAGAGATGAATTATAAATATGAGAGTTATTGAATGTTTATTTAATAAAGATTGACTAAGTTATATTATGATATCTACATGGTCAGGTGGGCAAAAGGGACCTAATATGAAACCTGAATTGTTGATGGGGCAAAAGGGACCCCAAGGAAATGGATACCTGCATAGCAGGTGGAGCAAAAGGGACCCCTAAAGAGGCAAAAGGGACCTCTATGAAATTCAATGGTGATAATGTCAGATTTATCTGGGCTCCATTGAATATGTTAAAGTATAGCCAAATCTTTTAAAAGATTAAATATTCAATATATATCTCAAATGACATAAAGGATGATGTTCAATATGATGTTTTGATGCTTTTCAAATAATGATAAGTTAGTGAAATGATTAGCTCAGTATTGTATTTCATTTTATCAATTCATTTTTATTGTTATTTAAGTTTGCATAGCTTATGTGAGCCTCATAGCTCACCAGAACTTTCTTCTGGCTGTTCTTATATGGTAAAGAAAAAGATAAAGTTGTTGCTGAAAGATTTCAAGTACCTCAATGTTATGTGTTATTTCTATATCTGTTTGCAAGGATTAGCTAAGGGTATGTAAACACTCAATTGAAATATTTTGTTTGGATGTTCTTTAGTGGCTCTGTAATTAGGTTGTGGATGTTTAAAAATGTTAAGTACTTTAGTTAATGTATCCATGAAGGTTTATGAGATACTTCGTATAATTATGCAAGTGGTTATCTGTTTCCAAAAACTTTATAGAAAGAAAATGATATGTTTTAACTGTTACACTCTACAGTACTAGTCAAGGGTATTGTGGGGTGTTACATGTTGTGTGCCGAAATATTTGTGACAATAGAGAGATAGAGTTTAATATTCAAGCTTTATCTGAAGATCCAGCACACACACAGATTAGTTCAAGTATCATAAGAGATACCAAAATTTTTGCATAAAAAATCTAAGAAAGGGAAAAACCACAACGCCCCATTCAATCGAAATGATTTAACTAGTATTTATCATTGATTACAAATGAAGCCCTTCCTTGAGGAAGATAATGATATAATGAAAATAACATATTATGAAGTTTAAGTTAGAAAAATCCTTAGCCAGGAACCCAATATAAATAATATTGGGAGTCAAAGTTGATGTCGATGGCGTGCATTCATTCTATAAGTGATGTGTTGGCAATATTAGTGACGGTAGGTGATGAAGCCAGAAGGCATTGGAGTAAGTAGGTGATAATAAAGAAAAGATTATAGGTCAGAGGATTGTAGTTGGTGAACGACAGAGGTTGGAGGACCGGAGTTAGTAGTAGTTGGAGATCGTAAGGACCATATTCGGGTGGTGGTCAAAGTCGGGCGGTGGTGATCCAAGTACCTAAGTTGATGGACAACGGAGGTCGATGGTGATGACTGGGTGACAACCCAACAATGATGCTCTGGGATCTATAGAGCCTCAAAGCTTTCTTGAATATCAAGAAAGAGTTTAAGCTATAGGTCATTGCTCGAAATTTACTGTTTAGGCCCCATTAAGCACCAAAAGTGTTAAAAATGGTCTAGAATAACCAAAAAGGTTTAGGAGACCGCAAAAGCATCTGAATCGGACAATCCAGGAAGGATATGGGGTCGAGACAGCTTGCACACAAACTGGGGGCCCATGCTCAGTACCCCTTTTATATTTTTCCCTTTTTTTTTTGAATTGGCAACTGCCAAGGGTACAAGAATTGCATGCTCAGTGAACTTTGGAAGCTCTTTGGAGTTTCTTTTTATTTTGTTTTTGAAATTCCCTTTAAAATAGAATATTTTGATTTTTGTGTCTAAGAAATCCAAAACATTTCTAAAAGGATAGGAGAAGCTGAGGAATTGCAGTTTCAACATTGTGATATTTTTCAGCATGTTACTAAGGCTTTCTCATCAAGAGATGAGATTCTTCCGCTAGGGGAGAATTGATGTATACAAATATTTATGTACTTTTTTATATTTTGATTTATTATGTTTTGTAATTTTATTTGGTTACCCTATGATGGAAACCAACTGATGATAATGCTAGGTTGGAGTTCTTAGGTTTGTCTCTCCCATTCCGTCACTTTGATGCTTCAGTTTCCCCTTGACAGCTGTCCCTTGGCTACTATATGGATGCTTCGGTTTTCCCCCTTGGTACTTCGGTTTCGCCCACCTTGGTAGCTGGGTTGTTGCTTCAGTTTTCCTCCACTTTATGCTATATGGATGCTTCATTTTTCCCCCTTGACAACTATCCCTTTGGTCCCTGTTTGCAGCAGTTTGATGAGTTTTTATTGGACGGATATGTGGTGTTTTACCTACCCGCATTAATTACTCTTTCCCCCTTTTTCTTCCCTATAAATAAAGGATGTTTTCCCACTAGTTTTGAACAAATTTTTGGTGAAGAATTTGCATACAAACCTGCGGGTTTTTCTATCTTGCGAGCTAGCCTCCTTTCCCTTCCCCACTATTCCTTCGTCCCGATTTTCTATCTCTTCTTCTCTATCCACAATTCTCGCCCCATCTGTATCCTTCTTCTCTTATGAGTGTGGTGGTGTCTGCTGCCATGTTTTGGCTGGTATCTGCCGGAGAAGTGTGGACTTGTGCCGAATCGTTTCAGTGGTGGGGTTAGATATATCCTTTAACCAGCTATCATTTATATTTCGAGCTTTGCATGTGAAGTGACTGCTTGTTAGTTGTTTTGAGGGTAGCCTTATTGTCATTTCTTTATGTTTACGGATTTTGTAAGCTATTTTGTAGAACTTGTTTCTACATTTAATTTTATAAGTGGATGTTAATGCTCTACTAAAAGGAAGAAATTCTCTAATTGCTTTCCTAAGTATTCTCCATAAAATATTTAAAAACTTAGGTTGCATCAAACATGGCCTACCTTTGCGCTTCTTCTCATTATACCCCAGTATAGGTGATGCAAGATCGACGTTGGCTTTGAAATTATAGGAGAAATTATGAAGCCGAGGCAAGACTTCTTGAAAATTGTAACAAGTTTTATGGGAGAAGAGATCGGTGTTGATATTTTGAATGTTGTAGAATACTTCATAAAATCTCCTATGATGTTAATAAATATAATGTATATACAATAACATGTATGTAGCCTTGGAATAAAACTTCTTATTTATATAACCCATGAATGTATCTTCCTCCAAGCTTAACTAATGTTTAAAATTAAGTTGCTAGAAATAATGTGATCTTAGTTTTTTGCATGATAGTGTTTGATATCCTAAGAACTTGACCCCCATAAGGTACTGAGCATTCGTGGATGCATGCATCATGCATCTTTTCCCTTCGGTGTATAAGCACGATTGCCATTGCGCCATTATAGTGACAAGCTTCATAAATAAAGTCTCTTTGAATCAAGCTTCTAATTTGTACTACAAATTATTATAAAGAATTGTCTTTTATAAGCTGTGGGTGTAAGTGTTAACCCTAAACCATAACCTATGGCAAAAGGTGTTGAGAGAGAGAGACCTACTAAGAGTATTTGATGAAGAATGTTCAATCTGCTAAAAGTTATCGCCAAAGCATTTTTTGATGGCGCTAGACCTATCTAAAAATTTTTACTAGAGTGTTGCTCGATGACATTAAGCAGAGTAGAATAGGTCGAGAAAAATCTAGTAAAAATGTTTGACCTATCTGAGGTTGTTTGTCAGAGCAATGATCGATAATTTTAACCTAGGTGAAAGAGGTAGAGAGAAATTGACCAAGAATATTTGACATATTCAAACATTTTTATTAGAACATTGATCGATGATATTAACCTGTATGGAAGAGATCAATGGAAATCTACCAAGGTTATTTGACCAATTAAAAATAATTTGAATTTCTTGATGCCATTAACTTATATGGATAAGGTCAAATCAAATCATCTTAGGATCGATTATACCCTAATTGGGAGGAGATGAATATCATGTGTATCCCAAATCAATAATGAAGCTTACTCGCTAAGTTGAGGCTTACTACTCTACTTAGGAGTTGCCCGTAAATTTAGGTTTAAAACACACCTTATTGCTTCAGTTAGAAGTAGCCAATAATTTGAGTTTAGGGTAGGTCTTACGGCTTCCATTAAAAATGCCTTGAGATTTTAGAGGATATGGCAAGTCTTATGGCTTCCATTGGAAGTTGTCTGTAGGTTTGATTGGGATAGAACCAACTACTTTCATTAAAAATTGCCTATAAGTTAAGGTTTGGTTATTTTACTTCCTTGGAAGATCTCTTAATGAATTTTTTTAATAGGATTTACTAGGCTTTACTACTTCACTTAGAAGTTACATATTAGGTTAACCAGTAGTTACTTAGTTTAGCACATTTCACTGCCTTGCAACACTATTTTGTTCTATTTTAGTGGTGATTTTTCTTATAATACTAGCGCTTTATTTTTGCACTAGAATTTTTGTTTACAGTATAGTGTTTTGTTTCCATACTAGTTTTGCTAATACTACTAGCTCCTTATTTTTGCACTAGCGTTTTTGTTTACAATAATTTCCCGTTTAGCAGGTTGACTATTTTCTTATAAGAAAATTAGATAGTTTAGATTACAAAGATTGTAAAGTTATTCCGAGTGAAAATTTATGTACCCAACATCGATTATTAGTTTTGGACTTTAAGATAAAGGGGCAGATAATAATAAATAAAGTAAAACGATATTCTAGGATTAGATTGGGATATTTAAAGAATATTAACAAAAATATTTTTGAGAGTAAGATTTTAGATCTTAAGA